ACTCTGATTTTGACATGCAACTCAAGAAATTTTTTAATAACCATTTTACAGAAAATTAGTTTTTTATTTGATGAAAGGCTAAATTAGTAAATTAATACAGCATGAATATACATATTTGCTCTACTATGAATCTTCCCACAAATTTATTTATATTCCTCTCGTTTTTCCTCATCCCCATTTATATTGTTAAAATGACAATGGAAAATTTGACAAAAATTTTGCCCATGAGAAATAGTTATCAACCGTTTTACTCTTTCTTTCGAATGTGAGCTTCTACCACATTATCTATGATAATTAAGATCTAGCTTATTTATTTTTTTCCTCATTCAAACACACTATCATATGCTCGAAAATTTATTTCACAATGAGTTGCAATTTGAAAGTAACTTAAATAAAGATTTTTTTTTTAAGTACCAGTGAGACGCACGTGCAAGGCACGTGTTATAGTATAGTTGACTATGTAATAGAGTAGATATAAAAAAATTATTTGGGTTAAACATCAATTTACATCAAACATAATCACCGAATACACTAAGGATTGAAATTCATTTCTGCGTTGTAACACTTCTGTTCATAAGAAGCGCGCGCGCACACACACATATATATAAAGATTCAGACGGTGCATTTAATGTTGGAATGGTTTTAAAAGGAAAATTATAGCAAAACGTTGGCTTTTTTTTTTCCCCCTCTAATGAAATGAGTTAAACAAGGTTGTATTGTGGTTAAAAAAAGGGGGGGAGGTGATTGACATCGTATTCGGTCCCGAAAAAGTCAAAACAATAACTTTAAAAAAAATGAGAAAGACATAAAATAGTAACTTGGCACACATCAATAGGAATGGTGCTAGGAATGTCAAACGGGTCGAGCTGCTCGTCGACTTGGCTCGTGAAAGGAGGTTCGTGGGCAGCTCGGGCTAGTAAAATCACGAGCCCAAGCACGAGCCGAGTGGGCCAGACGGGAGGCGACCCACGAGCTGGCTCCTGGCTCGTCCTAGTGATCATTCTGGTCACTGAAAAAATTTCAGTGATCAGAACGATCACTGAAATTTATTTATTTATTCCCCCCTTCTTCTACTATAAATACCCCCTTTCCCCCAAATTTTTTTCATATCTTGCTACTACAAGTCTACAACCCTCTCAACTCTTTTTTATTACATCAATTATCGAATTTTTTTTTTTTACTCTCTTGTGCAGTTGAAAGTTGTGTTACAAAATATACAATATCAATTTAATTTTTACAGTATATTAGTTACAATTTCAATTCATCCAATTCTCAATTCTCACAATCTCACTACATTTATATTCATCTAGTTAAGATTTCATCATAAATAATCAAACAAATGGATCAACGCTCATTTGTTGAGAGATTGTTCGATACAGGATGTGAGCCACTGCCACATCATGGAGAATCGCCTATGACGTCGTAAAGTCAATTTTCAAATGAATTTGCCGGTCTAAATGACATACCGATACCTGAAGATGTTCACATTCACGGTCAGGGAAGCCACAATCTAATTGATTTGGATGATATTAACGTTCCCGAAATGAAACATGAAGATGAAGATGTTGAATTAAATATCCCAGATGCGAGGGAAAAGCGAAAGGCCAAAAAACAAGTAAAATATTGGGATCACTTTAAGTTGGTTTCAACGGGAAAAGTCGTCGATGGTATTGCAAAATCTAAAGCAGTATGTAAATACTGCCAACAAAGATTTGCATGGCAAAAAGGAATTGGTACCACCAATCTCAACCGTCACTACAAAGCATGTGCGGCCAGACATGGACTTCTTCCAGCTGGTCAAACACAATTGTAATTTGGCAGTCCAGACGCCGGTTCTACAACTTCACCCCTATCCACATGGGTGTATTCGGAGGACAATACTCGAACCGGAATGGTGAAATTTGTTGTCGCCACTGAGTTGCCTCTGGCTATTACAGACAACCAACACTTCGTCTCATTCGTGAAAGAATATCTACAACCGAGGTACGTCAGGGTAAGTCGAAACACTCTTCATACTGATACAATAAATTATTTCAATAATTCAAAACAACAATTAATTATGGATTTGCAACAATATAAGGGTGTTATATCTTTAACTTCTGATATATGAGAATGGGTTAATAAAAGAGCATATATAGTTACAACTGCACACTATATAGATCCACTTTGGTGCATGCATAAGAAAATTATTATTTTTAGAATTATTGAGTTTTCTCACAATGCTAATAATATATATAATGCTATTATTAGTATTGTTAGAGAATATCATTGCGAGACTAAAATTCGATCTTTTCCTTTTGATAATGCTAGTGTTAATAAGGTAGTCATCGATAAATTGTGTAGGATACTTCAACCTGATTTTGGTGGGTATTTATTTCATATTCGTTGTGTATGTCATATCTTGAATTTAATTGTGTAAGATAGTTTAAAACATATAAAGGATGAACTTCAAAAAATTAGGAATGCATTAATATATATTACGATTTCTCCTAGTAGAAAACAAGTATTTGAAAATTTTTGTGCCGAACTAGGGGTGACAACTGCTAAAACATTTGTTAGCGACGTATGTCATAGATGGAACTCTACATACTTGTTATTAAAATCATGTGAAGGTTTCGAAAATTTAATAACTGACTTTTATAATAATATACATGTTAGAAGTGATGATGATGGTATGTTAAATGAATCCGATTGGATTTTAATTTTGAAAGTTAAATGATTTTTGACATCTTTTTATGAGATCATAAAGATTTTATCTGGCGTTTATTATCCCACAAGCTGTATGATGCTTGAACACCTTTATATAATTGCAAGAACATTTCATAAATATAAAAATGATCCTGCTTTTAGTGAAATTTTAATTACTATGGAATTAAAGTTTAGAAAATATTGGGAAGAACTGCATATATTATTTCGTTTAGCATACGCAATGGATCCCCAATATAATATTTCGGGAACTAAATACGTAATTGATCAAATCAATAAAGTTTTAAACTTGATACACCTATCACTTATAAGAATTTAGAGTAAACATTATGTGGAATGTATGATTTATATGCGGAAAGAATGTGTGCGAATGTTAGTTGGGTACCCTCTGTTGCACGTACTCCTTCTGCTGAAACTGAAGAAGATGCTGCGAAAATAATGAATTTATTTAAAGGCATTAATAAATTTAGATATGATGCAACTACAACGTGTTCATCTAGTGCCATGTCGTCTACATTTGCATCTCATCAAACATCGATCGAAATTCAAAATGTGATGCCTGCCGAATTAATTGATTACTTTAATCATAATATGCCAACAGACAGAACAATTAAAAAAAGTTTGAAGAAGTAATTGAATTTTGGCGAAAGTATGAAAGACGTTGGTCAATTGTTTCTACAATTGCGAAAGATTTGCTGACACCTCCTGTTAGTATTGTTGTTTCGGAGTCTACTTTTAGAGCAAGTAAAAGGGTTTTGACCGATGTCAGGAGCCGACTGAAAGAAGATGTTTTGGAAGCGTTAATGTGCGTGAAGGATTGACAGGACGCTTATTTTCGACTACAAGATAAATACGCTGAAATTGCATGTCGTCAAGTAAGTAATATTTGATTTAATTATATTAATCGAAATTTCATTATTTTTTAATCGTTAAATTTAATTTTCTTTAAAAAATTGTACACGTTACAACAAGTTTTTCGTGTACAATTTTTAACCCCGCCTACTTAAAATTGATGTAGCCGGTCCCAAGCCCGGATAAAGGAGGAGAGAACATTTTATGAACTTTAAAAAGAAATCAAAAATATATATTTTTTGTAAATGTATTTCAAAAAATAATTCGTCTTTATTATATAAATATTTTAGTCTTTATAAAAAGTATTACAATATGAATCATATGATATAACTAAAAAAAATAAAAAATTGTTTTTGTTAAATTATTTTTATTTTTTAACATTTTTATTTTTTAACACTTTTTATATGGTCAAGAAATCATAGTTTTTTAACAATATATTTTTATTTTTAACACTTTCACACTTAAAAAAATAAAAATAAATAAAAAAAAGACGAGCCCATGAGCTCGTGGACCAAGCCGAGCTCGCCCAAACGAGCCACGAGCGCGAGCCGAGCTCGTGAGATTAAGGGCTCGGCTCGACCCATTGCCACCTCTAAATGGTGCCAACACAAAGTCACTCTTTTAAGATATGGGAATAACTCTAAATATTATAATTGTACATGTATTCTCCTAAGCACTTGTATTTAGTTTATATTACATTTCGAGTGACATGATAAACTATAATAAGTGACGGGAGATAATGGAAGTTTCAAATCGTTTACATTTGTTGGTAGTTAATGTGTTACGTCATCCGATACTTAGCATAAGTTAATTACTAATATTTAGGAGACTATTTTCATGTATAGGAGTCCTTGACCTACTACAAATGTAGCAAGAATACCTTATAGTCCTTGTTTGGGCTCCATTTTAATTTTAATACATTTCTTTCTTTCTTTTTGTTCAATCATATATTTTTCAAATAATATTACATTTAAATTCAATTTTTTTTCTTTTTTAACCACACATTTTTCAAAAAATTATTATTTCTAAATATATTTTTCTTAAAACCTCATTAAAATAGAGCCCAAAACAAGAACATAATTAGTTAAATAATAATTAAGGTCCCCAACCCATTGTATCATTTGCACCTTTCTCCCCAATCATTTTTTCATACATAATGTAAATTTTGTAATTTTAAGAAAAGTTTGACCGTTTACCCAAACATTACAAAAATAAAGGTTAGGATTTGGTGCTGTCAAAAATTTAGATCTGGACCTATATGCTATAGTTTCAATTGATTGAGGACCCCAACTCTACTTTTTCCATGTAATAAATGACTCCTAATAAAACTGTCGGAATAATTTTAAATATAAGTGAAGTGGCAGGACGTCATTTCCACTAATCTCTTATAGCCGCCCATTCACAGCGCGTAATAAACAAGCACACCGACGCACCCCACCTTTGTCCTTATCCACATCATAGTCCAATTTTCCGTTCTCACTTCGCATCTTCTTCTTTCCATCCAGTCTCTCTATATATACATTTCACGTTTAATCGCATATATAAAACATCTTCTCTGCGAAGAATTTGGGATATTATTTGTTGCAGAAACATCGTTGGAAGGGTTTTTACTAAGAATCTTTCGATCCTTGGTTTTGTGGACATCAATTCTTGATTCAGTTTCTCATCTTTGAAATCCAATTCCTCCTTGCTCAATAACATACATTTTTATTTACACAATTTATTCGATTAGATAGTCGTTCATAATTTTATACACATTAGAGATAGATAAGAAGAAAGGTATTTATACAGAGGGTTTAGAGATATACACCCATTGATTAGATTATTAGTTATTTTTAGGTTTTATAAGAGAAGAGGGATGTTGGGGGCAGGATTGCAGTTTAACAGGAGTAGAAATGGAGAGGGTCAGTTTTATAGCGCCGCCAGGGCTCGCCGGAGCCAAGATCATTTGCGGAGATCTCAAAACAGGAGTCAAGCCGATGTGACGCCGGAGAAAACCAAGGGGGTTGCTGCCTCGCCAATGTTTGAACCGGCGTCCTCGTGTAATCTGGAACGGTTCCTGGAGTCAATAACACCCTCGGTGCCGGCTCAACGATTATCAAAGGTTTAATTGATATATATGAATTATTTGGACTTTCCCTTAATTAGAAGTGGTTTACGTTAAAAAGATTTGAATTTATTGTCAGTGGTAATTAATCTGAAAGTTTGCAGATTCTATGGATTTAGCATGTTTTGTTAATTACTTCACTGGCCATGTTTAAATAGTGTTTATTCCAAAGTATTTATTTAGTCCGAACGTTTTAGTTTTTTAACTATTTGTTGAAGTGTTTTTCTGTGTTGTCTATCAATGTTTCAATAATTAAGAGAAATGTGGTAATATCTATTGAAAATACGAAATTTAGGAGCTTTTAATACAGTAGTTAAATCACTTTAAAATGTCTGGCTGTTATTTTTCATATTAATTTTTTACCAATGGATGTGAAAGGTTGAAACTCGTACAACAGTTATATGGATGATCATATGCTTTATTTTATTATGAAACTTTAAAATTTGAATAATGAAAATAGATGGCCAGTGTCTAGTTGAATTGACCAGGTCATGGAGAAAATATGAATTCATCAATTTATTAGTGATTTGCCAATTGTTTTGGGTAGTTTACTGAATCAAAATTTTAATGAATGATATATTGAAAATATGACTTCATTAGTTTATTAATGATTACCAATTCTTATGTTTAGTTATTAGAAGTTATTGCAATTTTAATGTTGCTATAGCAACATGTAAGTGATTGTGGCTGAAATATGCTTTGGAGATGGTAAATTTTTCTTGAAGTATGGTAACCACCTCTTTGTTCTCTGAAGAAAATTAGTATTCATTTGCTGACTAATTCAAAATATCATTAGTTTATTGTTACTTCATTATTTTTGGTTAATTACCATGGGTTTGATTCAATCTATTTGAAAATATTAACAGACAGCATTGAAGGAATGGAGAACTAGCAATGAGAATTGTCAACCGTACTTTGTGCTAGCCGATTTGTGGGAGTCATTCAAGGAATGGAGTGTATATGATGCAGGAGTGCGATTGATAATGAATGACAGTGACCTTGTGGTCCAATATTATGTTCCCTATTTATCGGGTATACAATTGTATGTTGACCCTTCAAGGAGTATGGAAAATTCAAGGTACCTTATTTTCCTCCTAGATTCAATTTAGACTATGAGTATAACCAGACCTCATCTATTTGTCAAAAATGTAGAAATGAAAGAAGAAAGAACTACTGGCTTGCTTTTGTGTTTCATTTTATAAGAATGTTAGATGTTCGGATAAAACTTTGAACACATGTAATATTTGCTAGTAAAAGTGCATAAAACCTGTTAGTGATGTGTTCTTGTGCTTGTGTCATTGTAATATCTTTTAGGATACTGTCAATAACAGTGGTTAAATATCTGTTTCTAGAATGACTAGAAGGCAATCGAAAGAGTTCTGGACTGAGGAAGTGTATTTTGGCTTTGCTCAGATTACTTTAGATGGGAGAATTTTAGCTCGTTCCCTTACTACTGGATTTATGGATCAAGAGTTATTCTGATGTTTGACCATGTATATGCTATTAAGGATGTGATTTGATGGGTTATGTGATCATCATTGATTTGGTAGCTCAATCAAGATCACTTAGCGTAAGTGTAAAACAGTCACTGAGTGTAAATGTGTCAGCCTCAGTGTTGCTAATGATGATATTGATGTGATAAAATAATTTCCATTACATTGCCAGGTATAGATCATTTTATGTGTAGGCATGGGTCATGTGCGGGTCCATTTACATAAAAATTTGGTTGTAGAAATACTAGTTTTAATGTATGATCCAGGTTTCATTTCAAACTTTCATTACGTGGATGAGAAGTTTATTTAATTATGAATACAATTTATGAACTGGAGTGCCTGAGGTGAAAATTGGCAATGTACTCATTGCTGATAGAACAGTTACAATGTGTCATCTATTTGAGTTAGTTAGTTAGATTATAACATCACTTGGTTGTGCTAAGATATCTGTTAGGCATTATCTCATCCAACCCCTTCCAATGAGGTTCTCAGTCTTCAATATATAGAGTCGATAACATAGTAAAATAGAAGGAAAATTGCTCCCAGTTTGGAATGTATATGATTTCTGAGAATGCATGCATGTTTTAGCATAGGCTGATCAAGGGGAAATACTTAATGGAAATTGCTGCAGAAAAAGGGGGGTCACGAATTCTGAAGAATGAAGAAAGCATAGAAAAAGTTCTGAGATTTATGGAAGTTGAAGGCTGGTATGCAGCACTGTGGTTGTTTTACGGTTTGTTTTATAGAACAGTCAATTTTTTTCTGTCCTGGTGATTGGTTGTAATTTATTTCTGCACTTTTGAGGGGATTTTGGTAGCAAATGATATCGAGTGTAAGGTTTGGCCTCCCATGGCATGTACCCCGACTCTGTAACTTCATAACGATATATGTAGGAGGTTAATAAAATGATGTTTAGGTATATCACTATGTGCATGCATCATATTTATGCCGAAGTTTGTTTTTTCTCTTGAATCTGTGCTTCAATTAGAATTCAGAATGGAAGTGGATTTGTCCTGATAAGCAGTTTTAAGCCAAGTCAGTATATATACTTTTTGGTTGCATTGTGAGCATAGATTAAAAGGAAGTTGGTGAATCTTAAATATTTGTTTTACCAATGATAAGAGCTGTTTTCTGTTTCTGTCTATTTTGAAGGTTTATTAATTGAAAATCTTGACAATGAGATTGTTGTGGTATAATATTTCCTAAGATATTTAGGGTCGTTTGGAATGGCTTTTGACAAGCCGAAAGGAGCAATTAAGACTCAAAAGTTGTTTTTAGACCCTTTTGACCAATAAAATAAGAGTGCGTAGTTATATGAGTTTTTAAAGAAAGTTGATTTAATGTTGCTTCCTCTAAAAGTACTTTTGGAATAAAATTAGTTTTCAAACAAAAATTAAGGTAGTTTTTTGGAAAAATTCTTGTACAAAAAGCAAATTTATGTCAAATGAGCTCTTAGGATCTTTATAAGTAATTTTATAGTTTACAGAGAAAAAATCATATATACCATATTAATATATATAATTCATTTTGTACTGTTAAATTCAGATAATAACCCAAAATACTTCAAACCCCCAAATGAATCCCAAAAGTACTGCAAGTTAAACTTTTTCCAATGCTGTGAAAATGTGTGGCATTAAATTCAGTAGCAAAACATATGGAATTCAATTTCAAAATTAATTTAGTTGCTACAATAATATTGAAAGAGGAATTGAGAATATCCATCATTGGCAATCATGTCATAATGATTACATTGAGGTAATCCTAGTGTTTGACATTCAACGAGAGTCGAGTAATGCTGTGCTCTTAATTTTCGTGATTATCATGTCCATTTAATTTAATTACATTAATATTATTTTTATTTTGTGTTGACTATCTATGTTGTTGTAATGGAATGTAACTTGGATGTTCTAAACGATCAACTTGACTAGTAATTCTAAATCGAAGATAAATATAATTTCATTAAATTTATAATATATTATGTGATATTTATACTATCTTTATAATTAGAATTGGAATCTAAACATTTGCGGTAATAACCTATTTTCTCCTTTTAATAGTAAATTGATTTAATATTAAATTGGTTGGCATCTATTTTAGGCGTGAATTTTCGTTAATGGAGCCAATTAAAAGTTTAGATGGTTTGTTGACATCTAAATTTAATGTGATTACCGAATTCCCTGGGATTAATTCTTGACCGTTCCTCTCTAAGGCCCAATTGTGATAATTGACAATTCTTGATTTCACGTTTATTAATTGGTTTCCATTCTTTTTTTACAGTGGCTTTGATATTTTTACTAAATTAAATATGGCCCTTAATCCGAATTTTGAAGTTAACAATTCAGCATATACTTCTAAATCACAGTATTTTTAACTAGTATCTTGCAAGGATTTATTATGTTCTTTTAAGTAATTCATTTTGTACGAATTTTTGAATGATGCATAGGATAATTGAAATATTGTTATCCTCTTTACCAAATTTCTCTTTCATAGTTAATGATCATCGTTATCTTGCTATCTTTTATCCTTAAAATGTTAGTGTATCCTTATCCTGAACTTAATATCCATAAATTAATGTAGTAGATATAATGTAACCAAACAGTACCTTATGAGTTAAGAATGTTTTTAACTTAAAATCTAACTTTTACTCTTTTCTACAGTTTTAATTTACAGTTCGAGCATATAATTGAGATCTAACTTAATAGACAAATGTTATGGATCATGTTTAAAGAGTGAATTGTTTTTTCTCTTGAATCTGTGCTTCAATTAGAATTCAGAATGGGTAATTGGCGCAAAACATCCTTACCTTTCGAGGTTATTGTGGAAAACGTCCCTACCTTTCATTTTTTGGTATTTTTGCCCTTATTTACCACCTTTCTTGCGCTGAAGGTCCTTTTCACTGTTTTTTGACGATTTTGCCCTCTATTCAAATAAAAGAAAAAGAATAGAATTGAAAACAAAAGAATTAATTGCAACTAATACAATATTTTCAAATGTCATGACTCAATGAATGTTTAAAGATATGTATCCTGAATGTTTTTTTTACAAGATGTATGTTTATGCCATGAAAATGTGAGTGGAAAATGGGGTCTGGGGGAGACCAGCACATCTAACCAATGATGAATGATGAATATTTAATGTTAATGTTAATATTAATCGCTTTGCGGTACTACCTGTAGAATTTGATCGGGTTCCAAATAACATGTCCCACTACATTCTGATTGACTATAGGGCATTAATGTTTTTAAATAAATGAAAGAATGGGAATTCATATTGAGAAATGTCTTTTGTTTTAAAATAATGCATATGCATATCATCAGTATGCATCATGTGCATGGGTTTGCTTACTGAGCTTTAGCTCATTTCGCGTTATCCCTCCTCATTTTTAGATGATGAAGATATGATGATTCGAGACGACTATTTGTGATGAGACGGACTCGGTACTAATTCATTCAATATTGATTCAATTTGAAATAAGTTTAACTCTTAATTTGATTATCTTATATCTTTATTAAATATAAAAGTTTTCTAAAGTTCCTCCCTTAAGTGAGGGTCATTAATATTTTTATGATGAAGAAAAATTTATATTCAGTATTCCGCATTTATGGTTCAAAGGGGAAATTAAATGATAATACTTTCAAGTCTACGTAATTAGATTTAGGGGTGTTACAATTCGTGACTCAGAATTTCTTCACAAAATAACTAGAGGTAGTATGTTCATATCAAAATTTCTAGCCAATATTACCGTAACTTTGGATATTCCATTTCCATATTATCTATGTTTTTGAATTTCATTCCTTTGTGCCATTTTTCGAAATGAATGTGATTCTTGACTAGTAACAATTGAATGATCATGGGTTGTTTACTACATCGATGTAATTTAACATATACAGACTTGTAGCACAGATTGAACTCTATGTTTTGCATATCACAATCTCTACAATTTAACATCCGCATAACTTCATTTTGCCAGAACTCGAATTTTTGCACTCTGTTGACCTTTCGCACGATATCTTGCACAAAATTGTTTTTCACCAATAATTATTGCATAAAACTATTATTCACCTCTGGTTATGGAGAAGACAATTTGGAAGATATCGAAGATGCGAAGGAAGAAGGATCTTCATTTGTAATGCTAGAGGGAGACTGATTACCCAAAAACAATTTTTAGCAAGCTTTTTGACTATCACAAGTTGGTGTACAGTGGTTATGGGAACTACATTGTCATAGAGCAGGCAGAATAATTGGAGATGAGATGGATCTCGGTAAAACCATCCATGTTTTAGCTTTCCTTGGATCATTACATTTTGATAGTATGTACAAACCAACCATTGTTATTTCTCTCGTTACCCTCTTGCTGCAGTGGAAAAGAGAAGCTATGAAATGGTATCCAAGATTTTGTGAAGATATTACAACTCTGCTCAGGAAATGACCGGTGGGAAAAAGAGATCAAAATCAAATGAAAGCAATAATGAAAGTGATAAATTACTTGACAGTGATAGTAATGAAAAATTATCTTCTAAAAGTACTCTTGGTTATTGCAAAGAAGCCTAGGGAATTGGCTTATTTATTTATATGATTTACACAAAAATCTACTCATTTCCAATAAATATATTGTTCGGCTAACTCAATTG